TTTAGAGGGGTCGAAATTTTGGAGTTTTCACGGTACTAATTATTCCATTTCAATGAAACTTAGTACAAAGATGCTCTAGGACAATGTACAAACCTAATTAGTTTGGGGTAAAAATCTGTTCATATTAATTCCCTAATAAGCATAATAATTCATAATTTTTTGGTTCTAATCACATTTCAATTAAACTTGGAGACATAGATTTTCTGTTACATTGCGCAGACCTCATTAGTTTTACACTCAAATCTGGTCAAATTAATTTTCTAATTTGCATAATTAGTTTTCAGCTAAGTAATTTCGAATTATATTTAATGTGTCTCCAATACTCTCGGCACATGGGAGTTCTTTCTACGCTTTCTTTGATTTTTTTATGCGTTATCTAGGACGTGCTCTGTCAGTTTTCATTCAAATTTGGCACATACATGTACTTTATACATGTTAGGATGCATGTCCATGACAATTTGTTTCAAAATCTGGTCAAGGATGTCCGATTGACAGCCATCTGACTTTTTGGCCTTACTACTATATTTCCACAATTTATGTACCATTTTCATTCGTATTTGGCACATACATCATACATATCAGTGTGTTTCATAATCAGATCAAAGATGGCCGAATAACGGCTGTTTTTATTTTTGGCCATATTACTACTGCACTGAACAAGTGTTTTGATGTAAATAAACAATCTGTTGTATACGCCACTTGGAACTCAAGTTTCAAGGACATGCTCACGACAACCCCTCCGCTTTAATATGACGAGCACAAAGAGAACTTTCAAAAATTTAACGGGGACTGTGTCATTTTCAATGGCTTGGTGTATTTGACTTATTTCTGGGGCCTCCCTTAGGGAAGGATGAAATGAGATGATAATATTGTGTGATAAGGTATGTTTTATTGACTAAATCAAATCTTATTGTAGGATTCCATAAAACAAAAAGATGACAGAATAGAGGAATTAGAGGAAGCTTTGAAGGAAAGTGTAAACATCACTGCTGAAAGAGAAATGGTGCTCGCCCAGCAGCAAGCCATGCTGTCTGCTGTGGAAAAACAGGTGTGTAAAAAGGGTACTATGAATTCTCAATTGAGATGCATTAGTTGCTATATATAGGAAAGTAAAAATCTCATTTTCTAATATTTTTGCAAAATGACGATGATTTGACATTCTTATGACCGCTTTCACCTGTGTGGTTTTATGATTTTCATAATACTTTCTCATCACATATTTATTTGGTGCTCTTACAATTATTGACAATTATTTTTGAGAAACTGGGTACAATGTAAAAATATTTTAAATTTATTTCAAAGTTTATTTTATTGCATACTTTCTGAAACACTTATGGCAGCCTTATTATTTTACATCATTTTCCTGCTTGTAGTGATTATTTTAACGAGTTAATGGCCCAAAATGGCAGAGGAAATTGTGTTTACGTTATGTGAACGTTTGTGCGCAGTTACTATTTCCACCATGTGTTACTGTAAAATGACTAATTTTCACTGGGTTTAAATTTCACTGATTAGCATTTCTGGCATATTCAGTGGGTTTTAAATTTACCGTTTTATCATTTAATGTGTTCTATGCTAAATTTTACATATTCCCTGGGTTTTAATTTAGTGCATTCTCCAGTCAGCGAAATAAGCGTAATTAAAACCCAGTGAATAACTAATCCTTTTACAGTATAAGGATTCTGCATCCTAATGTAAACAAAGAATAATATTTAAGTGTATTATTAAAACGTCAATAATATCAAATGCTGGCGATGTAGTCTCCAAATAAGGAATAATTAGAAAGTTTGAATGAATACAGAGACGCTTTTTATGGTAAATTCTATTGTCTGGTGCTAAATGTATTATAATAATAATTTGTTCTTTCCATAGTTGGAAGATATTAGCAAAGATAAAGACACTTTAAAGAAGCATTTATCAGCAACTAGTGGTAAACTAGCTGACACTACCATGGCATTGAAAGACAAAGAAGCCAAGATGCAAGCTATGCTAGTGGAAAGACGAAAACAACTTGCTGAAGTTTTAGAAATGAAGTGAGTTGAATATCACTAACGCTCGGTGCATAATAAACATAAAAGCTTGTTGAATAATAAATTTCAAACCGTACTGATTGATCTCAAAGTTATGATCTTTCTGTCCCTCTTTTGAATAATTTGATCTTATCGATTGGTGGTATAAATGTTTTGTTGGTCAAATCACTATCATCATGTGTTTTCATTTGTAACATTGACTTCCAAAATTTGGTACAAAAAATACAAAAAACCTCATAAACATAATGAAAGTGCTGATTATGGAAATGTATAAGGGTTTAGCTTACCAGCGACATGGTACATGTAGCGGCGCTGCTGCTGTGTCTGTTGCGTTCTCTTCTTGAAGTGGTAGTTTCTTTTTCGTTCTCAATCCTGCAGTTCAGTTGCTAGAATTTATACCCCTATAATTCGACCACTCAAAATATGCCTCTGATAATTCGACCACACAAAAAAATAATTTCTGTTTTTCTTCTGATAAATCGGCCACTCTCAAAAATAGTTATTTTTACATGGCCGAATTGATAGGATTACGATACTATAGAATTGGAAATTATGTGTACAGTTTTATTTTATCGCTACACTGACACAGAATATTAGAATGCTAACAATAACACCTTTTTTAGAACGAGTTTTTCACCCCCATTTCGCTTGTGCTTTGTCAAACCATTATTAGTCTTGATTAAACCATCGCAATCACGGTGTCATTGTTGTATGATTGTTTGTACTCATGACTGAGTGATAGATGGAAAATTGAAGGTGATCTTTTAACCTGGAGATAGATCAGGATCTAATCTGCCATTGCTGATGCCCTTAGCTGATGTATGCATTTTGTTGTGAACCGTGGATAGAAATGATATAACAGTGTTTGATTTATAATGTAAATTCTGCAGCTTGTCTGCCAATTCTATATTTAAGTTAATATTAATTTTAGTGTGATATTGTGGTTACTGGGATGAATGATAATTCTAAGAAACACACTCCTAATCTTCAAAATGACAGATATGTATGCAAACTGATTGATACGCCAGCTGACTGTGGTTCTAACCATGCAAATAGTTTCTCATAGTTTACAAAGATGCCATTTCTGATAATTGTATATGGACATGCAAAAGACTTCCGCTAGTCGTTGTGTAAAAATTGATACTTTTTACTTTTGAAGATAAATACTACTGAGGCATTGAATTTTGCATGTGGTCTGATTAAATTGATTAAATCAGTTGTTGAAAACAAACTTCAGATCAGATTGTAGTTTAGGAATATAGAGGATCTGACAACAAACATCTACATCTTCCTTGTTTATTGCATAGGCCATCTAAATCATACTGCTGCGGGAGGGTATCAGTTTTCCAATATTCTAAATAGCTGCACCTCCTTTGACTAACTATATGAACTTTTTTTTTTGACAGACAAGAAGCTCTCCAAGCTGCCATTTGTGAAAAAGATGCCAATATTGCCTTAATTGAAATGAGTTCGAAATCTATCAAGAATGCAAGAACTGAGGAAGAAATAAGAAGGCTTAAAAAAGAAAAAGATGCACTTGTCAAGCAGCTCAAGCAACAGGTAAGACAGGAATTAATATAATATCTTGTTATCCCCGTTGACATCATTTTCCTGTTATCACTTTGCTTCTTATAAAACTTGTTATATAAAATGATAAATATTATTTTATATTATTTCAGACTGAAAGGCGAATGAAGCTGATTCAGCAGCAGCAAAACCAAAATGGAGATCATAACAACGAGGTACAAAGTCCCTCACCAGACCAGGTCTCTAGCATTCTCTCCTCTCTTATTCTTATTCAGTCTGTCAATTCTACTCCTTCCACTTTCATACCTTTTTCCTTATCTTGCTGAGACCGTTGTTTGTATCATTATTTTTTATTATAAGATAATATATATTTTGCTATGTGTGCAGGTGTCTATATATTATGTACACATGACACCAATTCTTGTTGCTGAAAGGTGGCTTATTTGCAATATATAGTTTTGTATAATGTGTTGTCATTGAAATGTGGTTAATTGTATTCATGTATATTGAGTGAATGACTCCAAGAGAAGCACTGTATAGGTACATCTATTTGGTCTGTAATGATCGTCCAGTGAGGTTTTCAAGCTAACATTAACATTTCCAGCACTTTGCTCTTTTTGTCATTGTTGCAGCTGTTTTCATGCTTACACCAATTTTGCCAGACATTTCATGCATTCATTTTTTGGATGTTAGTTTACTGTCTTTTATGTAAAACCCATAAGTTTCTTTGCAGTTTATGTATTCAACTCTGGTGAATAGATAATTCATATCTGCAGATAACATCATTCTTTATTACTTAACAGCCATTCCCTATACACACTGTGCTTCACTTTCTTGCTTTAAATAATTTACTACTGGTACCTCAGTGTGATTAAAATGAGATCAAAGTACAGATAGAGGTTCCAGTCTCTTTTCACTTTTTGAATACCAAATTCAGTTCTTGACACTTTCTACCATTTTGATCAAGATCTGTAGCCATTGGAAAACTGTGTTCTTTTCGTCTAAAATTAATAATGAAAAGGTACAAAAGGATAAATTTTTGAGGGGAAAAATATGGCATTCAAAGTTCAATTTTGTCATCTGCCTCACTGATGCATAGCACCACCAACTATTTTCTGGCCAATTAGCTATGCAAATCACATTCAGATCTGACATGATGAGAAACCAATGAAAACACATGTTAGACTGTTAGTCTGCTGAATGAATACTATTTGCATATAGGTAACTAGTCAGATGTTTAAATGTCAGTGCTTGTGTCGCGTCATGTTTGTTATGCGAACTCATAGCGATGTACACAATGTATGTAAAATTAATTGATTGTTCACATGAAATTCAAACCTATAAATACCGCCCTTTAAGAGACCAGACCCTCTATCTACCGGTAGATCTGATTTTCATCAGATTGTGTGTCTACCTGTAACTGGTATAATTGGTATAGCAAATATTGGTTTTCATACAACTTTCCATTTGTTGGCTTCTCTCTTTAATTTACTCACATGTTGCTTTGTTTCATTTTGACATTTGCACCTTTATCCTTTGCTTGCGCTTTAGGAAAACTCATTAAAGGTACACACGAATACTTTAATATAAAGTTGATAATAGGAGAAAACCTTTCTGGCTTTTTCATTAGTTTATCATTCATGTTTATATCTGCAGTCACCACATATTTCAATTAATTCACTTTAAAAATGTATTATTGCACACAGTCATGCAACAGATAGATTAGAAATGCCTTGTTTTTGCTATATGCTAGTTCTCTTATTGACACCCATCGTGCCGATGTGGTCACAAGATGCGATAATGTCTTCTAAATATGTTGCAATAGAAATGCTTGACATTGATTTGATCTGCACCAACCAAACTTGTTTATTACATAACCTGCTTTGCTGGAAATAGCGAGCATGCCAGATACCTGCAGCTGTGTTTGAAAACTTTTGGAAACGACAAAGTTCAAACCAGCATTCATATCACAAATGCATTGACCATTCACACACGTCTGTTGGTTGACTTATTGGTATCGTATCTTGTGCATGTTGCTTATTGTCGTCTTTTCTTTGTTGCATGAATAATGGTAAATATTGTGATTTGTTTTGATGTTATTTTATTGGGTATGTATATAGCATGCAACACCTGTATTCCCAACCAACTCTCCTGTCATTGGTAGATGTTAATATCATACTAGGGTAGTGGGTAGTTGGTCATTAAAACATGTATATTCATACAATGTAGTCTTGTAGTAGGCCAGGCATCAACAAGACTACATACATCATTAAAATAGTGAGTGCATTTAATAAACTCGCTCAGTATTTGATTTTCAGTACACTTCAAATTATTATGTCTTCATGATACCAAAGTTTAAGTAAAATATTGACACAATTACTATTTGAAATGTTTTTTCCTTTCGTCATTTTTCCCTGCAGTATATATGTATATAAATCACGGTATGCATTGCTACCAAGATTGGCCTCACTGTGTACCCTGTACTAAAGGTAGAAGCCTACTCATAAATGCAAATTTATTCATTTTGCAATAAGTTGTACCCTTGGGCTATATGGTGATACTGATTTGAAAAAAGTTAGGGCCCACCAGCCTCATTTTTGAGAAAATGATACTTGTATTTTAGTGGATAGTGGCCATTTTGGCAGCATTTTTAGTACATGTACCATTATGTCGTATCTCAAATTGTGGGCTGAAACAATCCTATATTGCTAATGATACGTACTTTTGATTGTCCTGAATTATTTTTAAAATCTTGGCTTTAAAAAATGTCAAAAATGCATTTGTTTTACATTGTGTTTTATGGAGTTGTTCTAAAAATAGTGATTTTTAAGTTTCTCAAAAAACGCCACTAACACACAAAAGAAAGCTATCTCATGGAACAATAGCTTCATGATTTTATGTAATAAACCAACGAATATTGTCAAACGATTTATGACTTTTTTAACAAAAATTGTGAGTAAGCTTCTATCTTAAATGTTACAACAGGATCTCAGTTTCAATATATATATATATATATATATATATATATTGCATGGAAAAAAGATAAGATGGGGAAAGACTGTTTCTAGGTTATTGCACTCGCTATAACATTTCAACCATGTAGCTAACACCATAAACAATCATTAGTTGTACTTAATTCACTGTATCTCTTTAAATCTTTCAAATTTCTGGATCATTTGGTTCTGATTTGGTTTTATCACCTCATTACGAATAAGAATGGAACATCTCTACTATCAAGGTCATTCATATTCTCAAATGGACCAAGAGTGATGGATGTAGTTTTTAGAGTCCTATTTTGGAATAACTCAGATATTAATTTCATATCAAGGTTTTTTTTATTAACGCAATTAATGATACTCAACAGTTTTGCCGTTAGTATATTAACCTTTTCACCACCAGTTCTTTCCCTATTTTCATCACAAATCCACAAAATAGTTCCATTTATAGTCTAAACTTTCCTTCAGACGATTGGGACAATAGCCAAATCTTTTGAGTAAAAACTAAAAATTGACTAAAATTGTTTCTGTTAGCTCTAAAATTAGGGTTCATTTCCAAAAATAATGAAGAATTTAAGAAAAAAGTGCAAAAAAATTTGGGCTAGAAAGTCTGGTGATGAAAAGGTTAATAATTAAACAATTATGTATGATTAATATTTTAATTTCAATGAATTTACATGTCACTATTATTTGTCAAGTGTACACAGCAGTATGTTATGCATACGTGTTACACTTCTGTAGTTTGTAAGATGTATTATGCCATCAAATTGACAAGTTTTATTTTATTCATTCACACACACAAACACATTTGTCATTTAGATGGTTGGTATCATATGGTAACTTATCATTTCTCACTGTTTTTCATGTGTTGCATATAGGATGAAGAAGAAGGCATATGGGCATGATGTTGTCGTCCCGGAGACAATGTTATAAACCACTCATCAGGGTAAATGTCAATATAATTTTTCATTTCTTCTGTTCAAAGCGAGATCCTGCATTGTTGATGAAATTGAACAGAAAAATAGGACAAGGGTCATACCGTCACAGTGACATTAAAAGTTCACATTTGACAAACATGAAATTGTTTCGGTATTTCCACACTTTAACAATACTGTTCTTGTACACATACGATGATGGTCAATTTTGATAAAGTAAGGGAATCACAATGCAATATTCCCCTCTTAAAAGATCTGCATTTTGACATGGAGCTCTAAAAAAAGAAATTTAAATTCAGATTTAAGTTGTTTTTTTCAGCTGACATCTGGCCTGTTCCTTTCACACAATATGCAAGGTCTCACAGTGAATAAAAAAAATCCCTTATTTTATCATCTTTATTCAGTAGAGGCCATGAAGCTGATACTTGTTATTCCTATTATTAGACAGTTGCATCAATGATAAATATAACCTTTTCACCACCAGTTCCCTATTTTCATCACAAATTCACAAAATAGTCTCGTTTATAGTCTGCACTTTCCTTGAGAAGATTGAGACAAAAATAGGCAAACTGAAAATCGACTAAAATTTTGTGTGTTGGCTTTAAAAATAGCGCTCCTTTCCAGAAATATTGAAGAGTATAAAAATAGGGCTCCTTTCCAGAAATATTGAAGAATATAAAAATAAAACTCCTTTCCAGAAATATTGAAGAATATAAAAATAGGGCTCCTTTCCAGAAATATTGAATATAAAAATAGGGCTCCTTTCCAGAAATATTGAAGAATATAAAAATAGGGCTCCTTTCCAGAAATATTGAAGAATATAAAAATAGGGCTCCTTTCCAGAAATATTGAAGAATATAAAAATAAGGCTCCTTTCCAGAAATATTGAAGAATATAAAAATAGGGCTCCTTTCCAGAAATATTGAATATAAAAATAGGGCTCCTTTCCAGAAATATTGAAGAATATAAAAATAGGGCTACTTTCCAGAAATATTGAAGAATATAAAAATAGGGCTCCTTTCCAGAAATATTGAAGAATATAAAAATAGGGCTCCTTTCCAGAAATATTGAAGAATATAAAAATAGGGCTCCTTTCCAGAAATATTGAAGAATATAAAAATAGGGCTCCTTTCCAGAAATATTGAAGTCTGGTGGTGAAAAAGTTAACCATGTATGGTGATATACGATTAAGATCCTATTTCGAATTAGTTCTATTCATACATGGTCCAACCCTAGCCAATACATCATGGATTCGTGTCGGTAATTAAACCATTGAAAGGTTTGATTGTGCAAACAGAAATGAGTGAGGTTATCTGTTTATACAAGAAACAGACAGTACCGGTATATACTGGTGCTGTACAAACATCAAGAACAGTGTAGAAAAAAAACGAGCTTAGCTGAATACACACAAGACTTGTTTAGACTCGCTCATTTCTAATGGTATTTCTAGAAATTTGTAATCGGTCGTAGGATCTTCATCACACAGTTGCGTATAACTTTATCTCTCTATCTTTGGTTGTATCAATCACTATCGTTATAACTGTTTTAGAACAATTTCATGTTATCAACCGCTCGTTTTCCTGCATTTCCCAGCTACAGTGTTCTTCTGTAAAAATTGAAATAATTTAATGTTGTTAAAACTGCATCAGAATCACTGTAATGTCAACTGCTCTCTTTAATATCTGTATAATACTGCCTGTAGAGGGCGCTATTATGTCACATGCCTTGTAGTATTTTTCACTTCACACAACATGTAGTACCGTAAAATCTGTATTAGAAGCCGCATCTCTAATAAAAGTCGCACCCATTCTTTTTGAATAATTGAGAACCAAAAATTCACCATTTCTCATATGTTTAGACGCTCTAATAGAAGCCACATCCCTTCTGTTGCATTGTACCATTTTAATAGAAGCCGCAGCTTCTAATACAGATTTTACAGTACTTGTATTTTAACATGACATACTCATTTTTTAATTGTGCACTAGTTTTGTCATGTCTTGGGCTGACCTCAAATAGCTGAGCATATCACGTAGTTTCTTCTCCTGCTTAACCTTAAAGTGTTGACAACATCATATGTTTGACTATTTTTAAATTTCCTCAGGCGATGCTGGCACTGATTGACCTAATGTTGGATTGCTCTGCAAAATGAAAACTAAAAAGGAAGCAGCTTGGCTTCGGGTATTCAGATGAAGAGAGAGAGAGATAGAACAAGGACTTTAATAATACAACTTCTAGCAAGATGTTTGTATGTTAACGTTCTTTTTTGGACTGTCAACTGTAATACCATGCACACAAAAATGGTTTCTGGTTTGGCTTGTATTTGATGCAACTTCTATGATAAGATGACCTTAAACAGTTTTTTTACAGCAACTGATGTAATGTTAATGTGTCGTATAGTTATTAGATAATTTAATTATTATATTTATGACAATTGTGTGCCTCAAACATCAAATCAATTTGTAAAATATTAAAATCTTTTGTAATATAATAATGTGCAATTTGTGCTAGAGTACTGTAGTTCGTTAAGATTTACTAGCTGTCTTTAGATTTTGCTGTTACATCATGTTTTATAAACATTTCTTTTTTTTATTGTGGAAATCTTTTTGGACATGGTAATTTTCTCTATGTTCTTCTGTAAATATTGAACGTTTTTTGTTTTTATTGAATTTTAGCACATGTTTTTTGATTTTTTTTTTTTTAAACATGCCATACAATTGTTATGGAAATTGATCGTAGTGATACATTCAACATGTATAGTGAATTGAAAGTGTTTTGACATGTTGCGATTAACTATGCAGTAGGTTTGGAATGAGAAAGAATTTCAAAAAAAAGCTTAAATGTTTAAATGAACGTGTACCCAGGACCTGATGTAAAATAGGGTACAGTGAGGACTGTTGAAGTAGACTGGGGATGAGAAAGAATTTGATAGTAGCTTAATTATTTTGAATGAACGTGTACCCAGGTCCTGATGTAAAATAGGGTACAGTGAGGACTGTTGAAGTACACAGGGGATGAGAAAGACTTTGATAGTAGCTTAATTGTTTTGAATGAATGAGTTTCCAGGTCCCAATGTAATATGGAAATACCTTGGGGGCTATTGAAGTAACACATAAAAACAGGCATGCAAAATCGAAATATTTTTTTTCTTTCATATAATGCATGGAATACTACCCCTTCCTTTGTAGATGTTCTAATATTGTAAAATAATTCATGAGATATATATCACTCTGATTGACAATATGGAGATATGCATCCAGTGAAAGTTATTTTGGCATTTTTGAATTTCGTAATAGATAATAGTATCAGTTTCACTTTCTGAACCTATTGAGAACCCTAAAAATGATCACATTTCATTGTGTAATCTGAGCAATATTTCAGTTACATACTGTCTTATCAGATTTTATCACAAAGCGCAAAAGCTCACACAAATTTTAATATATATGTACATCTGCATTTTATTTAGTGTTTATCAGAAGTGTATTGTTTTTTTTTTAATTTAAAATTTTATGTTGTGATATAATGGTAAATTAAAAGATTTACGTGCCTCTTCCTGTACCTCTCCCCCACAACACTTGATGCACTTTCAATAATCTTGTTCCTGCTTATGGTGCATATATGAAGTGCCTATTGATACCACTCTTTTCAATTCCACAGTGAGGGCAGTATCTATTTTCTATCCTTAAAAAGATATTGAAACTGCTTAAAACAAACTTTTGTTTTACATGTGTGAGCACTGCCTATTATAGTAAATACAGATTTTGAGCACAGTCAGTAAAACATCTTTAGTGCAAGTCACGCTTTTTGTATAAATGCATACAGAAGGATATTGTTCACTGATTTAGTGCGTTTTGATCTATGATTGTCAATAAATATATAAAAATAAGTAAATAAAACTAGATAAATAAAAATACCTTTTTTAAGCCACATATTTGCTATAATACTATAAATAACTGATTACAACACAACCCAAAAGCCAAAAGGTGTAGTTTTGAAACTTACTTTATTCTCGCATCTCTGAAGTGCTTCATCAGCACTTGATTTGACAGTCATATGACAACAGTCTGAGCTTAAGTGCAATTAGTAAATCTGAAATAAAAGTTTGTCGAAAAATATCCCTGTAGATCAAATGTAGTATGGCCGATATAAAAATATTTATTTTAGTAAAGCTTTCTTCATATCATTTTTTTATGATCAAGTTTATCACACTTAAATTTACATTTTAGTTGCCATGGTTACTTTTTTTTTTGTATATCTTGTATTTATATCTGTATCTGCTGAATTTTCATAAGAATTTCTTTTCTTTCATATCACAAACATCCCCCACCAGCAATGATGGATTTTCCTGTTGCTCCCTAAAATAAAGCCTGGGTGCAAACAAAATGCCTCTTTCAAATAAACTTGTCACTTGAGATAAACATACTATCTGTCTCATTTGTGCCTTAGATGGATGGATGGTTGGTGGTGTGTCTGCATTGTCTGTAACCCTTCTAGTGCCAAATTTTTCCCCACCCATATTTTTGTTCACATTTTCTGTAATTAAATTTTAATTTTTGAACCAAATGGACAAAATGTCACATTGCTTTTAGTTTTCAATCAAAATTTTTTGCAACAGTTTAGACTCTAAATGGAACTATTTTGTGGATCGTGCCTGAAGTTGACTTAAAGCAGGAGGGTCCTCACCTGTGCATACACGCGAATTGACTCTCAAGTGACGTTAACAACACGTGCTAAAAATGTAAACAATCGTACGCTATGGCCATCTGACTTATGCGCAGGTGACGTCGTCACAGCCTTGTCACAGTTTCAAACATTTAAAGTGGTAAGTATTGCAAATAAAGTCGGGTGAAACAACAGTGTCCTTTAATGTCGAAACTATCTAAAATTGACAAACACCTCTTGTAATAAAAAACAAAGCAAATACCAATACTACCTTTTAACCAACTTATATGAAGACAAATGTGAAAGTTGTCTGTGTTTAAAGTGGTTTTGCAGGACTCCCAAGTTGATATGATTCTTCGTCAAACAGAATGCGTTTCTGTTGAATGTGGTTTTCAAATTGCTTGCAGGATTGTTTCATGACTGACTGATTCTAGCAGTGCGAGTACATTCCTGACTCGCTGTAAACAGGACATGAGTGCTGTTATTGGAGGGCTCCGCTGGGTTTTGTAGTCCCTGGCATTTTGCCAGACAATGACATGGGAGACCTCTTTTCTGATACTGCCCCATCAATACCATTGGCGCATATCCAGATGTTTTGGAATTCTATAATATTGGTTGATTGTTAAGATTGGAATATGTCCAGGATAGTGTACATATGAACATTTCTTGCGTATTCATGAGCTGGGACGCATTCTTTCGAGTCGAATAATATTAAATCTGTCCCACATGAAAAGATACATGCGAGTTGTCACTCATCTACTGTAGGATTTGTGTGACAATCTGTAATAGCAGGGATGTAGTTAGTTATTCATGCAACTCATCCAGTCATATAGCAGTGCCTACAGATGCACAGTTGTGCCTTGTATAGAGTACAGATACACACATTTTAATTGCAGAACTGATTTATTCTGCTGTGACTGGTCCAGTGATATTAGAAATGTAGTCCATGTTTGGATACAAGTGACGAGTCCAGTAATATAAGGAAAGTAGTCCATTGTGTATGGATACATGTGATTAGTCCAGTAATATTAGAGAAGGAGACCATCATGTATGGATACATGTGATTAGTCCAGTGATATTAGAGAAATAGTCCATCATGTTTGGATACATGTGATTAGTCCAGTGATATTAGAGAAGTAGTCCATTGTGTATGGATATATGTGATTAGTCCAGTAATATTAGAGAAGTAGTCCATCATGGATGGATACATGTGATTAGTCCAGTGATATTAGAGAAGTAGTCCATTGTGTATGGATATGTGATTAGTCCAGTAATGTTAGAAAAGTAGTCCATCATGTATGGATACATGTCATTAGTCCAGTAATATTAGAGAAGTAGTCCATCATGTATGGATACATGTCATTAGTCCAGTAATATTAGAGAAGTAGTCCATCATGTATGGATACATGTGATTAGTCCAGTGATATTAGATAAGTAGTCCATCATGTATGGATACATGTGATTAGTCCAATGATATTAGAGAAGAAGCCCATCGTGTATGGATACATGTGACTAGTCAAGTAATATGAGAGAAGTAGTCCATTGTGTATGAACACATGTGATTAGTCCAGAAATATTAGAGAAGTAGTCCATTGTGTATGGATACATGTGATTAGTCAGGAATATTAGAGAAGTAGTCCATTGTGTATGGATACATGTAATTAGTCCAGTAATATTGGAGAAGTAGTCCATCGTGTATGGATACATGTGACTAGTCCAGTAATATTAGAGAAGTATTCAACTGTGTATGGATACATGTAACTAGTCAGAAATATTAGAGAAGAAGCCCATTGTGAATGAATGTGAATGGCCTTGTGATATTAGAGAGATGTAATTAGTCGTCTATGGATATATATATATATATATATATATATATATATATATAATTGTGTTTCAGTCTTACAAGTGTATAACTATCAAGTTGATGTATTGATGTATTCTCATTGGGTTTTATTCTGATCATCGAAGATTACTGGGAACTACATGAGGGCAAAGGTCCTCTTAATTGCATCTTCAAATTCAATTGCCAGAAGGCATTCATGTTGAATATATATACTTATTTTCACATCTAATTAATCAGTGTGTGAACTTCTCAGGGCTCCAAGTATCATTTGTTTAATGCTTGTTAATCTGAGATTTCTGCATTTATACTTGGAGCATCATTTGGGATCTCTCGGATTAGACGAAGCATTCATTTCTGACTTAAAGTATGTCTAATGAAGTTCCTTCAGAGTTGGATGACCATGCGCCCATCAACATCTTGGTCATAATATAGCATCGTTCGTTGCTGGTCGTGGCAGTTTTGGGCAGGTCTTATATGAGCAGTGTAGTGTAGAAAAGGGTATTCAACATCAGCAAACTCTTGCAAAAGGTGATCATCTAGATTTATCCATGCAAATAGATCAAACACAGCCCTGATCCAGTTCCTGATTTCCCACATATTTCAACTGCTTTTTGTTTGTGATGCTTGCTGCTTGACCAGCAAGTTCACAGGTCACAGCAGTCTTGTATTCATGATCCAATTTCTGCCTTCACCTGAAGTGGCACTGACAC